AGGCCCTGCCGAGCTGACTTAGCAATCCCATTTTTATTGGAGATGCTTTCGCTGATTAGCTCCACATCCTAATGACTCGGGCACGATAAATTACAAAGGAAATGCAGAAATCACTAGGGTTATATTAACATCTCCTGGGGAAGCAGCAGTAAGGTCATTTTCTGGACCATTAAATGGTTGCCATTCGTTTGCTACCTCGTCTCTTCGATAGCGATTCTGGTTTTTCTCGATTTCAGCCCAGCGCCATCTCAGCAGGCGCTGCGCTCCGGCGAGCTCGCGTCCCTTCTGCGCCGTCACTCCCCTTGCTCCCCTCTCCCATCTCCCCTCCCTCTCCCCGTGCCGGCGTCCGTGGGGAGCACGGCGTGACCAGGCAGCTGTCAGCCCGGTGCCAACATCCTGATCACAGCAGGGGTGGTCACATACGGTTTTTGGAGATTTGAGGACATCAGCCGTCTTCTGGACCCCCTTCTGTGTCTGCCGCAAAGAAAGATCACACCTCAAAGCTTGTGCGATATTTTCAGGCAATTTGCAGCCCACGCAAGAGGTAAAATCTCTCTGAGGGGTAAATTTTTGCGGGTGATTTGCCCAGCCCTTGAGATAGTAACTCTTACTGAAATCACAGCAAAAGGGGAAGATTCCGGAGTTAATGTTTGGAAAGTGAAATGAAAAAACACAAGTCATGGTCATTGTTATTACCGTGTTATGCAGCTCGGCTCAGCACGGGCCGCAGCAGGCTGTGGGCGCGTGCTCCCAGCCCCAGCGCCGAAGGGGCAGTCAGTATTTTGGACGGTGGTGGAGGACCCTGCTTTACTGTAGCTTTCATGGGGAGATGGGAGAATTTTTAGTTTGATTCAAGCGGCCTGACCTGTGCCCTTTTGCTGGCCATCTTCAGCAGACATGGGTCAGATCCTACAGGATTTTTGGTGTCTGGCTCCCTGCAGAGCAGAGATGCAGCGGAGGTAGCCACTGGCTCACTCTGAGACCCAGGGGGGATGTGGCTTGTCTCTGATCACCCAGGGAAGCCTGTGGAGGAGGTGGACACTGAATATCTGCTTCCCAAAGCCAAGGAATCCACAATGATGGCTAACCCTCCTTTTCCTCTCCTTACACTCAGGGCAGCGGGGGCAGAAGGATACCCCGGTGGCTTGCCGAAGGCTGCGCACCCCAGGAAGGCAGTGCTGGGCTGCAGTCCATCCCCAGCCCAAATCGCACACAGGCTCCCCCAGCACAAGGATGAGTCCAGGACATGGAAATGACCTTGCCCTTTCTTCCCCCTGCAGAGCCAGCTTTCCCAGGCCCTGAACGGGTTGTCAGACAGAGCCAAGGAAGCGAAAGAGTTCCTGGTCCAACTCCGCAACATGGTGCAGCAAATCCAGGTACTGTGTCTCCTGGCTGAGGAACATCCCCTTCCCGCCAGGATGAGCTGCTCTCTGCGATCCACTGCCCCATCTCCCCAGCTTGGTTTGGTGGGTGCTCTCCCAAAGCGGCCCACACCTGACTTTTCATACTACCCCCCTGCAGCCCTGCCCAAAACTGCTCCTCCCAAAGCTGCCTGTGTCGTGGAGCGAGCAGCAGAGACCCCAGCCCTTCCCATCTCTGCCATAGGCAGATCCAAGGATGCTGCAGGACAGACCAACCTGTTCCTCACCTGCCACCACCACGTTTGCCATGAGCCAAAGGCACAAGCTCCCCACGTGCTAATGGAGTGGATTTGTGTGGTGCGGTGGTGCAGCTGCACGTATAAAAATGGCCCATGCAGGATCATTAAAAAAAAATCAGGTCTCCCAACTGAAATGGAGACCTGCCCCAGGCTGTGATGCTCTGCTCTGACCCACAGGAGAACAGCGTGGAGTTCGAGGCCTGCCTGGTGGCCCAGTGCGACGCCCTCATCGATGCCCTCAACAGAAGGAAAGCCCAGTTGCTGTCCCGCGTCAACAAGGAGCACGAGCACAAGCTGAAGGTGAGCCCCGACGAACCGGCTGGGGCGGTCAGACACCTTTCTGCAGGCTTGGCACCGGAGGGGACGTGACCCGTGCCGCTGTTTGTGGGGGTGAAGCGCTGCGGGAGGGGCGGGAGGTCACTGGAGAGCTGCTCTTCTTGCTTTTCACGTGAGCGGGATTCCACTTTGCTGCAGATGCTCAGCCCGCTCCCAGCGTGACGCGCCCTGAGCAAGTGCTGCTTCCTCCAGGTGGTGGTTCCTACTGAATTACGCCATTACCGGGCCCGTCACTAGTCATTAGGTCAGCAGAGCCGTGTGTACGGCATCCGCAGGCTGGAAAATAACCCTGTTCGTGTCCCATGTTGCTTCCGAGCTACTAGCATGATCCTGCAGGATGCTGAGTGCCTGTAAGTCCTTCAGCTGAAGTCCTGGGGCATTTGGTATCGTGACAGGCCAGTTTTGTCACCAGGCGGGAGGAGGAATTGCTGTGTTTCCTGTCCTGTGCTTGTTGAGCACCTCATGGCTTCAGGTTTCACCGAGAGGTGAATCGTTGGCGTTGAGGGAACTGAGGTGCAGCTCTTAAGGTGAGCCTTGAGGTCAGCTGTGAAAACGGGCTCCTGGCTTGTGTCCTTCCTGCAGTCACTGCGCCGTGCCATTTCAGCTGGTTTGGGGCTGAGAAGGGAAGCGAAGGGCCAAATCCCACCTGGGACTGGAGGAGCGGGTGTAGCAGTGCCCAGTATCTGTTGGACAAGGTACTTTCACCCTGGCCATCACTGATACAGGCCAGCTGAGGCATTTCACTTTGTGCTTCCCCGGGTCCCTCTTCCAAGGGCATTTCAGTGTTCTGTCTAGAAACTTCTGTGTCTCTGCTCTGGCTCCACTTGTGTCCTTGGGGCCTCCAGGAGGCTCCCAGAGGGATTCCTGAACCTACCTCAAGTGAGGGAGGAGGCCACCAGTCTCCCGTCTGCCTGCAGGCCACGGGCACCGCAGCACGAGGGCTCGTGAGCATTTCCATCGGGAGCCGGACAATAGCAGCTTTGTGGGACTGAGCCCAGCATCAGTGCTTGGTGTCCGACAATAAAGCACAACCCCAAACAGGCATGCCGTGCTGCTGGCCTGTCCTCTAGGTGCAGAGAGGACCCCCACTGCCTGGTGGGCTCTCTTTCAAAATCTTGCCCTTCAGGGCATGGTTAGTTAAACACTCACAAAGCTGCGCAACACAAAGCAGTTTCCCTGCTCGGCGCAACCCGCGGAGGCCTTTCACTTTTTGGCTAGAGGAAGGGAACTGCTTCCCATGGCTTGCTCTTACTGTATCGCCTGTCCCCAAAACACATGCACACGGACATCCCACCCGCACCTACCCTGGTTACCAGCTGGCCTTTGTCATTACGCAGGCCTGGTCCTTAAAAGAAGAAACAGCCCCTGGGTTTCAGACTGGACTCGGATAAAAGCAGCCCTCAAGCCTCCCTCCCTGAAGGACAGAGCTCTTGCAGCTCCCTGCGCTCCGTGAGGAGGGAGCTGCACAGGCAGGAGGGGCTCCATGGCCCTGCGTGGTCCAGCAGATGCAGCACACGAGCATCCAGTTATCAATCAGTAGCATCACAGCAGCTGATGTTTAAAATCCAAAAGCTGCTCCCCTCTGCTCTGCAGCCTGTGGACTGTTGGTCAGATTTTTAGACTGAAATTATTTGATTTTCCCTTTTAATTCTTGTGGGAGTCGACGGCATGAATAATAACACAGCTGTGCTGCCTTGGTCTTAGGCTTCTATGGGGAGAGTCGTGCGACACTGAGCCACCCGAGTGCCAGCTAGTGTCTCGTACGCTGAGATTTGCCTCCCGGGGCTTCAGCATCGTCAGGCTGGGACACACAGACTTGGCACGCGGCTCAGGTGAACACACATCCTTCCCCTCTGGCTTGGGGACGGGGACAGAGAAGGTCTTGCCTGCCTTCACAAGCTGCAGACAGGACAGGGGGTTTAGGAGAGTCTCGAGCCTGTTGGGTGCCTCCCTGCTGTCCTCACTGTGCATACACAGGGTCCCCTGGCCCCACCAGGCCACCAAGCTGGGCATTCCCCACCGACACTGCAGCCTGGTCCCCTGCGTCCCCTTCTCCGGCACTGCCACTGTCCCCATCATGCTCCGTCACCCAGGGGAAGGGGCTGCCCAGGTCATCGCCGCTTAGGGCAGTGTCCCTTTTGCCCCGTCCAAGGAACCCCCTGGACAAAGGCAGCACCTGCAGCTCCAACTGGGCACGGGCTGGGCTGACCTCGCTGAAAGGGTCAGGGGAACGTGACGAGACATGAAAGGGGAGCAGCATTGTGCCTGGAGCAGCTGCCTCCCAACGGGACATCCACCCAGCTGCCCGAGGCTGGGGGGGATAACAAAGCCCCAGCTCTTGCTCCGAGGCTCTGGAGTGCTGGAAGCGTTGCAGAGGGAGCAGGAATCCTTCCAGGGTGTCAGGAAGGACGGTGTGCAGGGTGCGAGGCTCGGCCGCAGAGGGACCAGCTCCCCACCTCCGCCCGCCCCATCCGCAGCAGCGTGCTGCCTGCTCAGCGCCGTCTCTTCCTACACGTGCCCTGGCATGCACTCTGTGCTGAATTTGGACCCGTGGTGGGTCCTCCTGCAGGACCATGGGACTTGTCCTGGTTGATGTTCACGTTAGGACAGGACAATGTTGGCTCCTGACTTGCGGTGGTAGCATCACCACGTCCCATAGGAGACCAGTCCAGAGCCTCCTAGTCTGGCCTGCATGTCCACTTGCCGCTGCCGTGTCTCCAAAGCGTCTCAGCTGAGGAGGAGATGAGCAGATAGATTGACCAGTGAGACTTATCTGTATCACTCAGGAGCCCGTTCAGATCCAAATCAGTTGCTCCACAGTCGGCATGGAGCCACAGCACCCTGGCTGCCCCTCCTGCCTGCTGGGAGGTTGGCCACCATGGCACGGTATGGCACTGTGTGAGCGAGGAGAGGCATGGAGGGACGGAGCCTGCCGGCTGGCTCGGCACCACAGGCGCCTTTCACCGGAGAGCCCAAGCTCCCATTGCTGTGCAGTGCCCAGACTTGGGGTCAGCTCAGCCTCAGGACTGACCTACTTTGGCTTGACACATATTTCATGGAGGCAGGCACAAATCCAGGTTTGCCTGTGGGCCAACAACTAATTACTGCAGAGTGGGGAGAGGTTTGGGAAGAAACGAACTTGGCAAGGACATTTCCCTGCCTTTCCCCACCCTCCCCCTACACTTGGATTCAGATTAAGAACACAGGCTTTAAAAAAAATAACATCTGGAGGAGCCATGGGGTCAGGTGCCTGCTCCATCTCCGGGACAGACCTCCTTGCCTGTCCTGCTCCTCATTGCTGGCCCTGGTTTTCAAAGGACCAGTATGGTCTGTCCCAAGGGAAGATGCCCAACAGCACAGGCTGGTTTGTGCAGGGGACATAGAGGCTTCCTTGCAGTGTTGTCCCAGGAAGAAATCTCTCCTCAGTCTACAGCACACATGGACTGAGCTCTGTGTGCACCTCCTTTGAGCTCTGAGCAGTGTGGTGGAACATTCTGGCCTTCTTCTGGCCTTCAGGTCATAGGATGTCTTTGCTCTGTGATTTCACCATGGTGCTTTGGCTGCAGAGCCCTTGCAGGCAAACAGTGGTTGTCACATTTCCCAGGGGAGCTAATTATATAGGAAACGCTCATCAAGGGCTCCTGTCCATGGCACTGGATCTCCAGAGATAAAATGCTCGTCCATGACCCTTCTTTAAGGCTTACAGTCAGGATTTTCCAGGAAGCCCAAGGGAACTTGGTGTCCTCCATTGGGTTAGGTCACTGGTGATCAGGACTGGTGTGAAAGGATGAGAAACAGGACAGAAGCACAGCTTTAGTTTCCTGTACCATACCATTTCTGTATGGAAACACCAGACAGGACACACAGGTCAGATAAGCTCACCGCGAAGTGCATTATTTCCCAAAGATGCAGATACCAGACTGCTCTTACAAATCCCTCCACACTCTCCACTACTTCCCCTGCCATGATGTCTGACCACCTTGGGAAAGGCATCAGCACCGGGAGCTGGGCACTGGGGACCAGCAGCTGTGATCAGGCTGCAGGGATGCCTCTGGTTTTTTGACGCCCCTCACGCTTTCTGCTTGTTCTGTTGAAGAGCTGGATCAAGTCTGTCCTCCGTAGCATCTCTCCACGTGCCATGTTCACCAGTGGCTCTGCGCTGGAGACCAGGTCTCCATACGGCGCCTTCCCGCACTTGTTGGTGCCGTACAGAAGCCTTTGATCAGGAGAGGCTGTGCAAGCCTCCAGGACGTGCCGTCACCAGCATCGCACGGGCTGGTTAACGCAGCAGCTCTGCTTTTTCCAGCTCCAGCCTGAGCCTCCTCTCCCAATAGCAAGAGGCAAGTCACCATGGAAACATCCACCTGGAAATGCTCAGAGGATCTGTGGTTGTGGGATTCAGCACAGTCAAAACATCAGGGTCTGTCCCGGGGGTTTTTCCATCCGGGATTTTTCTATCTGGGTTCGCAGTGCTGCAGCGAAGCACAGCAGCGCTGCTCCCCCGAACACCACCATGCAGGTGACCGTTCTCCAGCCACGGTGTGCCCGGGGTGAGGAGGCTCCGTGTCCTCCACGTGACATTCCCGACAGGACTCGTCCTGAGTGCTGAGGAGCCAAGGTTCAAGTGAGGTTGAGTGCCTTGAAAACCAGTTGTCTAGCCAAGTACTAAAAAGAGAAGGAAGGTGAGGAAGACATTTAAGTAGAGATGAGTGCAGATGTTATTGCCTTCTAGGAGCTGTATTAAAATGTAAATTATAGTTAATGTCATCTTGCAGGGAAGAAAAGCTCTTGAAATAAATTTCCTATTTTAAGGTAGTAGTGAGCTGCTGTGAGTGCACAGGGAAAGTCCTTTTCATAGGCTGTAATTAGCAGCCAGGTTCTGGCTGTTGCCTCCTTTGGCACCTAAAGGGAAAAAAAGTCATTTGATAAAAACGACCACAGATAAAATGTATGGAGCTGCCCAAATGCCCTCTGCAGCTGAGCCATTAGGCCTTTCCCCGAAGGTGCCGCCGCTCAGTGAGGTGTGTTACCTGTGTGGTTTCAGGAGAGGTTTGTAAACTGTCTACCTGCACGCAGAATTCATGGCAGCCTGGTTTTCCTGGCGATCTGGTGAACGCTGCAAGCCCTCTGAAGTCTCCTGAGGCTGCCCCTCGGCCCAACACAGCCTCATTTGCTTGCACAAGTCAAAGGCTTGAGGAACTTCCAAATTTTGCTGTCAGCTCTCTTCATCAAAATACTCTTCATTACTGGGGTAACAGGGAGCTGAGGTACCCCTGGGAGTGGAAATCCCTGATGCACGAGAAGAACCACAGGATGCTTAAGGCCATAGGGAAAACTTGTAGGCTTCACTGGCCCCACAGGGTCTAGACCGTGCCTTTGAAGGTACGTGGGATGCTTATGTCTTATTTTTAAAACCTTTCATTTCCCTAATCAAAGTGATTCGTGGAGTCTCGCTGTTCCTGTCTGCATCCTGCTTCTCTTGTGTGGAGCGCAGGAGCTGTAAAGCCACGAAGCCCCACCAGGTCCCAGCCGAAGATCCCTCCCCTTGCCTTGAAAACAGTTTGTTGGCGGCGAAGGGAAATGTGGATTTCTGCTGTCGGCTTGCCTGCTGTGTAGATGCTGCAATTAAGCCGCTGTTTCATGCTCTAGTTCTCCGGATGAGCAGATGCTGGGTCCCCGAGGAGGCTCGCGGAGTTGCAGAAGGGCAGGATCGCTGGGGCTAAAGGTGTGGGCAGGGACAGCTGCCTTGGATGCAGCTTCTGAGCACCTAGAGCAGGCTGTCCCAGGCTGCCTCCAGTTGAGATCTGAATGTCTCCAAGGCTGGAGACTCCACAGCCTCTCTGTTCTAGTCTTTGACCACCTTTTTTGGGGGGAAAAAAAGCACTTTTACTTATGTTTGAATGGGAATTCTTGTACCTCAGTTTGCACTCACATGCATAACGATATACGTAGCCTCAGTGGCAGCCTGCAGCAAGCACTTCCACTCCGGACCAGACCTTTATTAGCAGGGATAATCTGCCAGGAAGCTCAGTAATTAATCAGCCTGGAGCCGCCTGGTGCTGGCCTCACCTCACGCTGCTGCCGGGGAGCGGGCAGGGTGGCGGGGCAAAGCCGGGGCTGGCACCTCCCTGCTCCAGCTCCCTTCTTCCAGACAGTGCCAGGAAGGCCCCCAGGTCTCATGCTGGCACCAGAGCAGGGGTGGCAGGTCCCCTCACCTTGCCAGTAACCCCGTCTTTTGGCCAAGAGGGTGCCGGGGGATCCAGCCGTGTGTCCAGGGCTGTCCTGGGACACCATGCCTGTCTTCACCGAGCAAACGCTGCTCCTTGGAGGCTCATGCCTGGCTGGCGGTAGCAGATGGCAGTTCTGCTGGTAATACTTCGAAAGCATCTACTCGGGCAGGGAGAGGCTCACAAATTCATTATCCTGGGAAAACCAGACAGAGATTTAAGCTGCAAAGAAGATAAGAAGATTGTTTTACCAATCCCATCTTTGCTGTCTTCCTGGTGGCGTGTGCATTTCCCTGGCGAGGGGTCTTGCTTGAAGAAGGAAGGCTGTTTTTCTGGACATTCAGGATGTGATCCCCCCTTGCCCATCTGCAGCCCAGCTGAGCTCGGTAGATGCAGTCAGGGTATGCTCAAACAGCAAGGTTAGAGCCTGCAGGCTGGGCTCATCTCGCACTCAGTGGTTACACCACGGTCTGGAGCTGAGATTCAACATCCATGCGGCCAACAACCCTTGCAAGAGCAGAACAGCCCCCCAGCCCCCTCTCCTGACCAGAAGAGATCCCTTAGTGCAAGGGGCTGCTTTGCGTTCCCTGGCAGGGGCTGCCGGGTGCTGCAAAGAGGCTGCCGGTTGCTGCAAAGCTTTGCAACCCCACTGCACTTTCTGGATCCCACCCTGATGGACTGACCATCGCCACGGAGAAAGTCCAGGGACTTGCCCACGCTTTGGGAAGAGAGCAGCAGAGCCCAAGAGGAATCCAGATCTCAAGGACTAGCTGTTGCCCAGCAGACCCATTCCAGTGCACTCAAGTGTTAGAAGCTGGTACTGAAAGAAGTCTTCCTCCTCATGACAGCATACGAGACCAGAACCGGTGTGTGCCGATCATGCTGCTCGCTAGCTCCACATAGCATTTCACAGAAGCAGATATGTTGTCCCAAGTTGCAAGACTGGTAATTCTTTTCTTCCTGTTAGGTGATTAAGTAGAGGTGATTAAATTAAAATTAAGCAACACATGATGTGGTTGATCGCCCTTGCAGGAGTCATTGCCCCCCTTGAAGCCCAGGTTCATTCACCGCAGGAGGCTGACATGCGCTTCACTGCACCTCGCCGTCCCTGGGGATGCTCGCAGAGGGAGCTCAGCCTGGGGTGGGCATTCGAGCACTGCTGTGCTGATGGAGCGGTGGGCACCCAGGCGCTGGCATTCACCGGCTGCGGTGCGGAGGACGCAACTGCTTTCGGAAATGTTAATCACTGCTTATTGCAGCTTTTTCCGTCGCAGCGCAGCTGCAGCTGCTGCTGAGAAGCTCGTCTTTGCTGTCTGTAACATCCTGAATAGCTATGATCCCTAGAGCTGCATAGCTTTGTTCAGTCCTAGTGGAGAACTTTACACAGCTTTAAAGCTCTTTCAGAAAAAGAAAAAAAATTATCTATCTGCCATGGACACGTTCCTCTGAAGCATAAAATCTTTCTTCCTGAGCCGCTCTGCCAATCTCCCATGACATAAATCCCTCTGACACCGGGTGCAGATCTGCACTGTCTCCTTCTGTGGGGATTCAGCGTGTGGGAGCACCTTGCAGTTGCTCGGAGGGACCAGCCAGCCTTCAAATACACCCTCGTGGTATCGGGGCCTGAGCCCCGTCCTCCCTGCTGTGTCTCAGGGAAGGGCAGCAGAGCCCGCAGGCACCGGCCAGCCCACACACTTGGCTGTACTGCGCCGCCGGGATGCTGAGACACGTTCCCCTGGGGGAACCATCCACGGGTGCAAGAAGACGTGCTTTAGCGTGCAGCCTGGGCAGCCCCAGGCAGAGCTTGGTGTGCTGTAGGGAGCCCTGCTACAAGGCGTGCAGGATTTATCTCCTCTCGCTGACACACCTCCCGCGCTGGGCTCATCCCCAGACTCCCGCTGCAGCCGGTGGAGAAAATGAGGCAATTCGGCGGCGTGGTCCATCTCAGCTGATGGGCAGGTGAGCATCTCAAGCAGGTCATTAGTCAGAGCTGAAACTGGGGGAGGTAGTGCGTTCATTCCTCTTGGAAATGGCAAAAGACCAGGCTCGCTCCTCACCCGCGGTGGTTGGGTGCAGCTGCCACAGAGCCAAGCCGGCAGCCCGGCTCCACGCCAAGGATGGATAGGGCAGCCCCACGGAGGCTGCAGCAGCAGCTGTGTATCTTATGGAGGTATGTATCTTAGGCATTTGCTTTGCATGGAGTTCATAAGCGGTCATTTGGAAGCTGTCTTAAGTAAAGACAGCATGGAACTGCCCTACTGCTTTGAATAATTACGTGGGTTAATAATTTTGAGCTAAACAAGGCTTGTTGTTGTTCACCAGCTTTTCCAAGACCTGGAATTTGGTGTATGAGTCTTGGCCAGTTCTGCCTATTTCTATTTCTAGACTCCTAAAGGGAGTCTTTGCCTCCCTTCGTATTGCCGTGCCCCTGCGCCCACGCAGCACCGAAGCCCCTTGGCTCCCCGGCTCCCCAGGCTCCCTGAGCCACGCCGCTCTCCCTGTCCCACTGCAGGTGGTGCGAGACCAGATCTCTCACTGCACGGTGAAGCTGCGCCAGACCACGGGCCTGATGGAGTACTGCCTGGAGGTCATCAAGGAGAACGACCCCAGCGGCTTCCTGCAGGTTGGTGTGGAGCTGCTCACGCCTGGGCTGCGAGGGGAGCGGGAAAGGCATCACACAGCCGAGAGCCCTGGGGTAACGCAGCAGAGTTGGGGGAGTTACACCAAAGATGATGTCCCCAGCTTTTCCAACCATAAAATAAAGGACCAACCTCTGATCACCTCCAAATCACAGCAAGGGAGAAGCAGAACCAGGCCAGGGACATTTCTTACCCCGGTGTGCAGCAGGTGGTGGTGTACTTCTGGGGCAGTGACCATCACGTGCTGTCCTATGGTTCTCCAGCAAGAGACGGACATACAGCCCTTGAGAACCACATCCCCCATTGGTTCCTGGGCTGGTCCCTTTGGTACTAGACCCTGCCTTTAAAATAGTCCCCAGAGCTCCTGGCGTCCCTCTGCCAATCTGATCCGGCAGCAAGGCGTGATGCTAGAAAGCACGTGTGATGTCCCAGCCTTTGGCAGTCAGGGACAGACGTGGCAGCCTGGGAGGCACAGGGAGGGAGGAGAGCAGGGGAGGGACGAGGCACAGCGCACAGCCCAGGTGGCCCTCGGTAGCTGAGGCTGCTCCTTGCCACCAGATCTCCGACGCTCTCATCAGGAGAGTGCACTTAACCGAGGACCAGTGGGGAAAGGGCACGCTCACGCCCCGGATGACCACGGACTTCGACCTGAACCTTGACAACGCCCCTTTGCTGCAGTCCATCCATCAGCTCGACTTTGTGCAGATGAAAGGTAAGAAAATTTCCTGTGCCTTTCAAAAGCTTGTCTCTGCTCATGCTGAGTGCTTCCATGCAACTCACCACAGGGAAGGGGCAGCAGAGGAGACTTTCTCATCTTCTCCCAGCCAGACTTGGCATCCCAGACCCAGAGTTATGCCCGTTCCTGTGTATTTTGCACCCCTGGGCCAGCCATCTGCCTCCCTGCCTCTGATCCCTGGGCAGCTGTGTGCCAGATCAAGGTGCCAGGAGCTTGGTTTTGCCTGGCAGTGCGTTAGAAAGCGTTCTGTAATGCCAGGAGAGCCAGACTGGTCCCAGCTCAGCTGGCAGAGGTTGGGACCAGGCTCTCGGGAGCAGCACAGGCACTTCCTAAACCTCTGCTCACACATGCTCGCTTGCTCAGTGCTGAGCAGCGTCTGGCGTGGGCCAGCTAGCGAGCTGCCTGCTGCGGGCAGCCACGGTGTCCCTCCAAACACAAAAGCACAAAGAGCCACGCCGCGTAGCTCGGGGTCAGTCCTCCCTCCCCTCTCCTCCCTGTTGTTTTAGACCTTCAGTTTTAATTTCCTCCTCGTTGTCCGTTCCCTCTGTGCTCACCCTCCCGTACCACGGAGAGCCACTGCGGTTGCACGGCTTTGCAGGAAGCAGGGAGCCACTGCCACCTGTGAGCTGCTGGTGCCTTGGAAAGCCCTGGGAAGCCGACAGGAGATGCAAATGGGCTGTGAGGCAGGGAAGCTCAGGAGGACATTGAACGGAGGCCTGTGCCTTCAGCTGGTGCAAATATGCTGCCTGGAGGAAAGGCCACCAGCTGCAGGTCTGGCATGGCTCTTCACTGCCGTCACGGCTGGATTTCCTGAGTCGGGAGCCATTTGCACACACCAGCATTTCTCAGTGGTCAGACACAGGAAGGCTGTTGACCAAGTGCTTCCTTCTGTAACGATATCGAGCATCTTCAAATAATGGCCCCGCTGGTATTCGCTGCAGCGAGCAGGGCGCGTTGGGCATGGCTGCTGGGAGCGCTCGTAGTTGCTCGTGTTATTTCGTTTGGCTGTTCATTTGAAGTGTCAGTAACATTTTCTGCTAGCAAGGGGACCCAAACCCGGGGAGGTCTGGATTACTGTTTAGCTTACACACCAGTCATGGAGATGTTAGCGTGTTCTGCCCTCCCTTCTTTCAATTTAGCCCAGAGGGTTATTTTTAATTAATAAGAGCAAATCTGCTGCTAGTTTAGCCGCCCACTCTCCTCTGTGGAGGCAGGGCAGAGCTGACAGAGGCTGTGCTCTCGTCTCACCCTCGCTGTAGAAATAAGTTGTTGCATTTTGCAGGCTTAGCAGAAGGTTGGGTTTGGATCCCAAACGCGTGTCGCAGCACCGAAGGAGGCAGGGCAACACCAGAGGTGTTGATAAAGAGCAGAGGTGAGCGATAGGTATGGGGCATCCCACATCCATTGCCAGCACATGCTGAGCACGAGCAGCATCCCTGCTGCTGTATTAGCTGTAACACGAGGGCTTTCTCCACTCGCTTTCTCCAGGCCCTCAGCCTGGTGGTTCCTGCCGAGGATCTGACCCAGGAGGTGGAGGAGGGTGGTGAATCCCTCATGGAGGGAGGTGGTGAATGGTGGATCTTTGCCAGCGAGTCCATCTTTTCTCTTCAGGACATGTTGGCTTCTCCACATCTTGTCTGGATTCTCCATCTTTTTTTTCACTGGCTCTTGTCAGACTTTGGGCGGTGAGGATGAGGGTGGAGGACAAGCAGCTCCATTGAGAGGAGGTTTGGGAGAGCTGTCCCTAGCCAGGGGACGGGATGTGTCGGTGGACATCCCCTTTCCCTGTCATGCTGTCATCCCTCCATGCTTTTCAGAGCAGGAGTGGGCTGCATTACACATGTGCAGATGCCCAAATACAGCATTCTGAGCAGAAAAAGCCCTGATGGTCCTTTATGTCCCCGATGTAGCTGATGGGAGGCTATAGGGTACGCAGCCTCCCAGCATCAGTTCCAGAGGCGTGCGGAGGCTGAGGGCAGGGACTGCCTGCTGCCTGTTTGGAGACCTCTCTGAAATGTGCCTGTGCCTCTTGTGCCTCCCCAGAGGTGTTCAGCAGCAAGGGCTGTTTGCTGGCTGAGCTGCCACCCCGGGGACCCCACAGGAACCCCCAGAGTGGGTGCTGTGCTTGGGACAGCAGGGAAGGACCCTGAGCCTTTTTCGGCAGGTCAAGGGCTCTCATTCCCTGGCACTAAAACAGCATCATTGAGAGACGTGCTCATCTCTTCTCCAAGTCCCCCAGTTCGTGTGGTTGCCTCCCCCTTTTAGGACAGGCTCTACCACAGCAAAAAGATCAGGCGCTCCCCGTTCTGCAGGTCCCCAGGCTTGTCTCTGCTGCTCCGGCATCGCTTGTTCTCTTGCAGTGAGTTTGTTCGGTGGAGAAGCAGAGCAGTGCATGCTGCGGGGTTGTAGATAAGGCCAGGTCCATGGCTGCAGCCAGCTCTGCAGGTTTGGGACCGGCTTCGGTGAAGAGCCCAGGCACTTCTATACCAGGTATATTGTTGCGCTGCCATATTTCACCAAAATGCATTAGAAAACAGGAGGAAAACAGAAAAGCTTCACCAGGCCGCGGGATGGAAGAATTTGGTGGAGCTTGTTTGGAGAACAGTCCTTTCTGCTTCCTCCCCACCTCACACCCGCGAGATCACAGTTAACGTCCCTTGTGCCCTGCTGGCTTCACACCGAGGCAATAAATGCATCCTCCCTGCTCCCGCGGAAATGTGCATGCCACGGCTATCCCCCCGCTCCTCCTCTCTGGCGCTAGCAGCCAGGCTTACACTAATTTGTGTTTAGTTTCCTCCCCAGTGCCGGCCCCCCCGATCCTGCAGCTAGAGGAGTGTTGCACCCACAACAACAGTGCCACCTTGTCCTGGAAGCAGCCCCCCTTGTCGACGGTGCAGGTGGAAGGCTACATCCTGGAGCTCGATGACGGCAACGGCGGCCAGTTCAGGGTAGGTGCTCGCAGCACGAAGCCAGTCCCGGCGGCGACGCGTTACTCCTGGCTCCAGTATTGCCCTGCCATGAAGCGACCAAAGAGTTCCCCAGACTTTTTGCAAGTCCCCTCCATCCCTTGGAAATATGAGAGTCGTTGCTGGGGTGCCCAGGGAAGCTGACGGCGCAGACAAGCTGCGGGCTTTTTTGGGGGGCAAGGTTATTTGAGGGGGTGGAAATACCTTTCTGGTGACCAATATGACTTGCAAACGCAAAGAACACATTTGAAGCTCTGTCTTTTTAGGTTGTTAAATATTTCATGCAAGGTATGCTAATTGCCATGAAAGACTCATGGATTGCCAGCTGCCAGCAAGCAGAGGTGTTTAAGGCCTGAGGGCTTTTAAATTGCTGTAATTACACAATTAAAATACGATTTTTCTCTGATCCGACACGCTGATAATTATCCTGGTGTGTTCACATCCAGCGAGAGCAGGCGCAGGGACCAGCACACCGCATTTTCTGAATTCATCCACAAGAAACTCAGCCAGGCAGGAGCCAGAGCAGAGCCAAGGCAGAAGAGAGGTGATGTGGGTGCAATCTGGAGAGAGAAGGGAGCGGGAGGCTGGGTGTGGGGAGACCAAGGCTCAGCGCAGCCGCCCCGGCAAGGTGAGGGCAATTCTCCAGCGCACCCGTCTTCTCCTCCCACCAGCAGTGGGAAGGAGCTTGGGTGTGCATGGTATTCCTACTGCTGGGATGCTCCAGCCGATGGGACGCGGCCGGTGCCACAAAGGGGAACATCGCTGGCTTCTCAAATCATTGAGCCATTCTCCTGCCCAAAAGCAGCAAGCTGACCGTGTCAGGCAGCGATTCGCCCAGCGAGCTGGGAGTGCCGACTGTCGTACGGGTGACAGTCCCTGCCGAGAGCAGGTCTATGTGTAGCCCGGCCTGTTAGCTACCTCCCACACAAACAGGCAGGAGAGATTGGGACGGTGTCCTGAGGCCAGAGGACTCTGCCTTTGGGCATCAAGCCAAAAAGGGGCTCCTTGCAGTGAGCCTGGGGTGGTAAAGTAGGAGCTGTGCTCTCTCACGGGCTGCAGGGTGGGTGCTGGAGCCCGGGTGGACCAGGGCCACCTTAGCGTCCCAGCACCAATCTCACCCGGTTCGTTAGGACACCCACATTGCGCTCTCTGACCCCGAGCACTGACCCATTGCTGTTCCCAGGTCCACTGCTGCTCCCCAGCCCCAGTCAGGGTGTCAGGAGGGGTGGAAGCCATCACCTCTGCTCTGCAGCACAGGGGACCATGCAGGCACGCCTAGAAGCTCTGGGGACGTGCACCCACCTGCAAGGAAAGGGGCCAAATTCAAGCATTGGCTCTGGAAGCAGCAGCACCCGACCACCCCGGCAGCTCGGGCAGCGAAGCGCAGTGGGCTCTGGAGTTGGAGGAGGGAAGCGAAGCAGGCGAGCTGCCTGTGCAGAGCCTCCATCTGCACCGTGAAGGGCAGCAAACGGGGCTTTGTCTTGGGATCTGCTAAATACAAGTCAATGCTTTGTGAGCCATGTGTTTCGGTAGCCCGTAGGCCTGTTCACCACTGTCCCTGCTCACACAGCTCCATTCCTTTGAGCAGGGCTACGGCACGGTGTGACACACCAGTGAGTCAGCACCCATTTGGTGTGATCACCTTGTTTTCTTTCAAGGAATGCTTTGATCCTGCTACCCAAGTGCACACAAAATTGTTTTCCGCAAGGATGTTTCCCTGTCCTGGGCTCAGTCTATATACATTCTCTGGCAGAGCTCTTCTGGGATTCAGTCAGAGTTTGGCTGGGATTACAGAATCACAGAATCATTAAGGTCGGAAAAGACCTTTAAGGTCATGAAGTCCAACCACCACCCCAACACCACCAAGCCCACTAAACCATATCCTGAAGTACCACGCCTACACGTTTTTTTAATTCTTCCAGTGATGGCGACTCCACCACCTCCCTGGGCAGCCTGTTCCGATGCTTGACCACCCTCTCCATAAAGAAATTTTTCCCGACTGATGCTTTATGACTTGGCCCAATATGAATAGCATCTCCTTCCCCTACAGAAACTGGTTTTATGGCACAGTATTGTCAAGGAACAAATCACAGGGCTGTTTTGCTCTGCTTTAGCCATACCCAGTGCTCATAAGTCTGCCCCAGGTAGCAGAGCATGGCTGAACCCTGTGTGTCACGACCGCTGGGAGCTGTACTCCTGCCCCGGGACTCCGTGGTCCTGGCACTAACCCATGCCTGTGCTTGCTTTGCAGGAGGTGTACGTGGGCAAGGAGACCATGTGCACAGTGGATGGGCTTCACTTCAACAGCACGTACAGCGCACGTGTCAAAGCCTTCAACAAAACAGGAGTCAGCCCGTACAGCAAGACCCTGGTCCTCCAGACATCTGAGGGTAAGGCATTGCAACAGCTCCAGCCCAACGCGCTCGGACACTGCTCACACCCACGCGTGGGGCCCGTCCAGCACACCCAAGCTTAGCATTGCAATACAGGGAACTGCTGCGCTGGTCCTCCAGTACCTCAGCAATCATTGCAGTAAAGCCAGCACTGACGGGAGGAGGAAAGGTTACGTCAGGAGCCTTGAACGGTGCCAGAATTTCTCACTGCTTTCCTTTGCAGAAGATGTTCTTTGGGGAGGTACAGTGAGAAACATCCCACAGAGAGGTATTTAAAATTCGGTTGCAGCAGGGTTTGTATTACACAAAGGGAAGCCCAGATGTTTTCATTAATTCCATTTAAAACAAAACAACACTGTCAACATTGCTCCTGAGACGCTAAGGGCTATGCATGGCTGCGTAAACGCCATAACTGCGCGAGGTCTTCTCCAGCCCCTGGCAGTGCACAACAGAGAGCAGAGGGACCTTGGAGCCACACGGGTGTCCTTGCAGACCCACAGGATGTACAGCCAGCCACGCCGGCATCGTCTGCATCACCCCCGCACCGGCAGGCACTCAGTTAGAATATTAAAACACGCTCTTTGCAGGTTGTGGAGGGGTCTCCCCGCCTGACTTTAAGTACATTTGTCACACCAGGCACTTAATCTGTTGCGGAAAATTGGCTTGCTTCTGACATGCAGGTGGAGAGCCGCAAGGCTAGCTCCGAGAAACGAGGTGGGAGTCATAGGCAGCGGGCAATGCAGCCGTGAAGGAAGGCATCAGCCCCCACCGCCACGTCTGCTGTCCCGTAGCCTTGCTGCCAGGCAAGAAACCCCTCCTCAGGAGTTTTCCACGCTTGGTGGAATCCCTTTTCCTTACTCCCAGATTAAAATCTGTCTTTTCCAAGCCGTGTGAAGATTTTGGTCCACGGCAGTGTTACCAGACCTGGCTGGCAGCTGGCTCGAGAGCAGCAGCGTGTGCCCCAGCAGCTGCCAACCGACACAGTCTGGGGTCAGGAGGGACCAAACACAGCTCATGGGGTTGCTGGAGGGGTGGAAGGAGGGTGAGATCCTCAGCCACAGAGCACCTCCGGTGGCTTTGAGCAAGGAGGAGGAAGGGTTTTCTGCTGAAAAAAGAGAAGACAAAAGCAGAGCAAGGCTATCCGGAGCGTTTTCACTTGCTTGCCCACGCTTATCTGCAGGAGATAACTGTTCCAGTTCAGGAAGAGCATGTGCCAGGTTTGGGTGCGTGGGCAGGACAGGTCGGTGAGGAATGGGGCTCACATGTGACAGAGGTAGAGTAGAGAGCAAACCTGTGACAAACCCTTCTCATACGGGAGGCAGAAAACTCAAATCGCAGGCCACAAAGGCCTCGGCACATCTGTCTGAGAGCTGGGTGCGTTTGCAAAGCTGGGTGCCAACGTCAAGGAAGCTGCAGCGTTCCTCTGGAGATCCAGGGACAGGACAGCCCTGATCCAGCCCCACGCTGGGGTGGCCAGGACCGCTCCCAAAGCCTGAAGGCCAACAGTTCTCACCCAGTTTACTACCCGGCTTCACCAGCCTTTGCAAGAGGCAGCAGAGCTTTGGCCTCTCGTCACATTTGTGTCTCTTAAGATGCATTCGAGGACAGTTTCCTAATCAAAACCAGTTGAGCTTTAAGTTGTCCCAGCCAGGAGTTTGCAGGGGGGACCCTATGGCCTTTCCAGCTCTGTTTTCCTCTCCTAGGTGTTTGCACTGTCGAGCCGAGCTCGCCTATTGCGCAGCTCCAAAATACAAAGGAACCTGGGAGAAAAGAGCTGTTCCTGGTCCCAGCAGGCCAGGCTGTGCTTGGGGTGGTCCCTTGGTCTGTGCCAGCAAACAGAAGTTTCACTCTTCTGAGCATCGGCTGAAAGTTCGCTGCATTGCGGCCTTTTCACCGAATGGGCTTTTCCGTTTGTTACTCCAGCACGAAAAAAAGAGGGAGAAAAAGTCAAACGGGCCTGGAGCGTTTTCTGCTCTTAGAGGCCATCTGAGGTTTTTGGACTTAAAGCGAAATAAATTACATCTCTGGGCAGCTTCCGGATATCCAAGTGAGTTCTTGAGTAGAGCCACCTTGCACATCACAGCTCTCCCATTAGGCTTTTATTTCTGCCCTTCACAGCAGCATCAGGCCTCTAAGTGCTATTTTGTCTGAAGTAGGCTTAGCTTTCCCCTCCAGCCGTGCCCTGCAGCTTGCTGCAAAGTGTTTGTGCGGGAAGAGGGGACAAAAGAAGAGGCTGGCTCGATACGAAGGGGACACCTCTCTGAACACGACTGTCCTGCTGTAAGGGGTTGTGAGAAATTCTGCTTAGAGGGTGTTATTTAAAAGCTGGCTTCTAGTCCTAGCGCACAGCCTGTGGAAGTGAACTGAAGTCTTTCTTCTGCCTTCAGTGATCAGTGAAATGGGCTGTAGAGGCTAGCGGGGACTGAAACGTCTTGCAGGGTCTCAGCATCTGAAGAGAACAAGGATGAGAAGAGGGTAAAATTGTGTCTGGGCCTCTGCAGCCGTGCTTCTGTGGTCCTGTCCAGCCGAACAGCCAGGGCGAGCCAGGCAACACCGACGGGAACGTCCCACGGGACGTCGGCACACACACAAGACTACAGCAAGGGGCAGAGCACCTTTCCAGCCCGTGGTGTGGCACACCTTCTTCTGCTCATCCCAAAGGAAACTACATTTTCCAGCTGAGGAAGTTGCAGTTCACTCTTTAAAGCTGGTGCTTGGTACTACCAGCAGGGCAAGGTGGCTGTGCCCCAGAGCCCTTCCCACGTGCTGGGCCTTCTGGGGCTTCCCAGGGATGAAGATCCTCAGCAGCAGCACAGCAAGGGCTGCCATGGTCCTTACCTTGAACCGTGTCCTCTCCCGACCTGATAGCAGGCTGTTTCACAGCAGCCCTAGGAATATCTCTTGCCCTGTCACGTCGTAGCTGGTGGCTCCAAGGCACTGCGATGTGGTGCCTGGCTTAACCTCTCTGTTTCTTCAGCACGTGCACAAAGCTCAGCTGTAGGCTTGGAAATCACTCTGGAAGAACGTTGGCAGGGTGACCCTGTCCGTAGGCGCAGGCATCTTACAAAGCTTGGCCGCTGACAGCACCGCTCGGCTGCCCTCGCCTCCAGGAGCCCTCGGGTCTCCCCCCAGCCTCCTCTTCTCCGGGCTGGGCAGCCCCAGCTCTCATAGTCTTCCCTCATCCAGCAGATTTTCCAACCTCTGGCCAGTCTTTTGCTGACTTCAGGACCCAGTCTGTTTTGCTCCCGGCGCGTTCCCATTTTCACCCTACCCACAGCTTGGTGCATTCACGGCTGCGGCAAGAGCAGCCTCTGAGAGTCTTTCCAGAAGCCCCCGGCTCTGGTCTGCTGGTCATGGTGGGATGCAAACAGCCGCTCCCAGGAACGGGCACCTAAGGCACGGTGCCAAGGAACAGAGGAGGAGACCTTCCCTACAAGGATTTTTGAGGTGGCTTCTGAGTCCCTGAAGCCTTGTTTCCCTTCATGGGCTGTCCAGCAAGCTGGATGGTGGGAAGAAGGTCCAACTTGCTCCAGAGGTGGAGAAGGGAGCTCAGCAGTGGTGGAGGGGACCGTCTGCCTGCTCCCCAGGCCCAGATCTGCTCTCCTGGCTGGTGCAGATGTTCAACCTCCCCCCTGCCAAAACCTTCTGCTCCGTTCTCACCATTCCCTGCATCTCTATGCCTGCCCACACCTCAGCCCTTCCGTTGGGCGGCTTCATGCCTTCAGCCACACTCTCCTGGGCACGTGCTGCTTGCAGCCATGCACTTGAGAGCCAGCACGGGGGAAGAGCCGTGTCTCCGCTCCCCCTTCTCGCGGCTGCTCTGGGTCTCCAGCTTTAGGCATGGCTGCAGAGTTTCAAGGCAAGCCTAGTTTCTTGTATTTTTGGTGAGACACAAGCCTAGGAGCAGAGGATCAGGGAGGAACACCTGGCTTTCGCACCCTGTGCCCTGACGTCCCCTCTCCCAGGTTCCCAGACTTGGCCAACCCTGCCAACACCACAAGTAGCTGCACCCAGCCACCTCTGTCACCCTGGGGATGTGGCAAAGGGCCTTGGGGCACCACAGCCTGAGAGACCTTCCCCAGCCTAGTCAAGCACCAGAAGCTTTTCTCTTCTTTCAAGCTCAGTTCCTCATCTGGGGCCCAACATTAAGCTCCTTACCAGCCATGGAGTGGCCCTCAGCAGCAACCAGGGCTTTTTGACTGGCAGCTTTTGGAAAGAGATGAACACCACAAGGGGAAACAGTCTGCAAGGAACTATAGGAACATAAGATGCTACTTAGGGAGAGTCATGAGCATGGCTACTCTTGGTAGTAGTTCCTCTCACTCTTGGTAGATGTCAGAGGGCACGTCCCTCCCTAACCTTGAGCTCCGTTTATTGACCTGTTGTGCAATAATTTATCTTACCCATTTATGAACCCACTGACACTCTTTGCTTCTACAGCAAGTTGCAGAAGTTACAATCCACTGTGCAAAAAAATGCTTCCTTTTATCTGTTTTAACGTGATTTCCAGCTCAATCCATATTTACAGCTGAGAGAGGAAGGCTGGGGATACAGCGTTCCTGAGTTTATCTGATTTGAATGTGTGGAGGATGATGGATCCTACATTTTTATGTTAACATATCCCTTGACAAGGCTAGGGAAGAAATTGCAGGAGGTGACCGTTTGTGGTAGCGCGGAACGGAAACCGATGACCTGAGAGGTTCCCTCTACTCTGACATTTTGCTGTGAATCACATGAGTTAAATTCTTACTGTAAGGCTCAGATGTGTTTTGACAGGTACAAAGGGATACCAAGAACACAACATCCCGAACAACCTTTGAGTAAGGTGGGTGCTTGGTGGTGCTTAGGGTAATATAGCTTAGTACAGCCCTGCAAAATGCCTTTCAGCATTACCAACAGCCTAGTTTTCACACCACTAATTGTTGCGCACAAAAAGGTATGCGATTTATTAAAGAACGACGGGAAGTGTGCATGGTAACTTGTGAATTTTTTTAGGTACGTTACTGTGAAGAGGGGCAGGACTCACTTTACAGAAAAGCATATTGAATTTGTCATGATGACACGGGAACATTTTGAAAGACGA